AAGCACAGCATGCCACAGACACATATCAGTCTGTCCGGCCCTTAAATCGTCCACGGGCGCACGTGGCTTCGCATTCTCCTCACGGTAAATCCATGACCTTTTCGGTGGGGCTGAGGCCCGTGTGCCCTTCCCTGTCCTCATCTGGTTTTCAGGGGCTTCTTCCTCCAGGCTCCCTGTCACTCCCCACTGGCTCCAGGAATGTGCCTTCTGACCAGGTACCGGTGACACGCCTTTACAGGCTGCTCAGGAGACTGAAATCGAAGGATCTCGCAGTTCAAAGCCAGCCTGGACAGTCCTGGGCTGAGCTCCATGAGTCCCTTGGCACAACTTCCAGAGAGAGCAGAATTTTCCTTTCTAGGTCCCTGGGGGACTGCGGAAGCCAGGAGCGGGTGGGGTAGAAACAGAGGGACAGCGACGGTGACAAGGCATCTGGGTGTGGCTCCCCAGCTCTGTGCCTGAGGTCCGGCTGTGTTGGGTTTGTCTGCAGTCCAGTCACCTTCTGTGTGTAATCTATGAGATCTGAGATCTGCAGTCCTGCCTGCAGCAGCAGGCCCCATTCACCCATCTAGCCCAAGGAGGGCTCTGGGCCCAGGGACGGTTGCTACACGGGAAGCCTTTGCTGCTCCACCCCCCCCTCCCCCTTGTGGATGGTCACTCCATCTGGAGCATGCTTTTGCCTTCCAGATCCGTGTTTTGTATCTTGTCGTGGGACTTGAACTCAGGGCCTGGGCGCTGTCCCTGAACTTTTCTGCTCAAGGCTAGCGCCCTACCACATTGAACCACGGCATCACTTCTAGTTTTTGTGTGGTTCATTGAAGATAAGGATCTCACAGACTTTCCTACCTGGGCTGGCTTCAAACTGTGATCCTCAGATGTCCGGTCTTCTGAGTAGCTAGGATTAGAGGTGTTAGCCACAGGCACCCAGCTATTGTTTTTGTCATTGTTGTGGTGGTGGTGGTTTTGTGTGTGTGTGTGTGTGTGTGTTGAGACAGAATCTTGTCACATAGCCCAAGCTGTCAAAGTCACAATCTTTCCACCTCAGCATCCCAAGAGCTGGGATTACAGGCATGCGTCACCATGCTCATCTTTGCTCTGTAGCTTTCGAGGTCTGGGACCAAGCTTCATGGTGCCTAGGCTACTCAGTGAGCTTGAAGAAAACCCCTGTTCTTTACACGCTGGAGAAATGGTTCTACCCGGTAACCTGGAAATCAGCTCCTAGTGCGGCCTGGACTAGCAGCCAGAATCGGGCTGAAATGCACATGCCCCAGAGCTCGGTTCCTGTTTGAAGAGGGGAATAGAATCCTGAGCACGGTGGCCGGAGTAGCTGTTTCCCCTTCAGATAACTAAGATTGGCATACCTATCCCCCCCGCCCCCCATACATCCCTGGTCCCCCGACCTTCGCTTTCACAGGAACAGAGGCTTGCAAAGTGGGGATATTTTTAAAGCCTCTGCCCCAGAGATCCAGCCAGCCTGAGTCACACCCAGCTCCAAAACAGCCAGGGTTCCCAGGCTAGCCCATGGCTGGGCAGGGAAGGAAAGCAGAGACCTGACTGGTTATGTGGTTGGCTGAATGGGTCTTTGTTCCTATTTACCAACTGTTAAATTGATAGGCTCTTTGTGATTGGTGGAGCCTAAGTTCTGTTTTTCTTTAAGTCATTCCCAAGAACGGCTTAGGTTTTGCTTGTGTATGAATGAAGCAAGGTGTAGGCCCCGGTCCAGGTGCTGTCTGCTCAGGAGTCCTTCAGCCCCGCTCTCCTTATTTCCCTTATTTGCTTTAACATGAATGAATTTAAACTTAATGTCTCAACATTGTTGGTGGTTCACACCTGTAATCTTAACTGCTCAGGAGGCTGAAATCTGAGGATCACAGTTTGAAGCCAGCCCGGGTAGGAAAGTCCATGAGACTCTTATCTCCAATAAACCACTCAGAAAAATCTGGAAGTGGTGCTGTAGCTCAAGTGGCAGAGCACTAGCCTTGAGTAAAAGACGCTCAGGGACAGGGCCCAGGCAAATAAAATTAATGTCTCCGTCAAGGGAGATTTACATAGTATGGGATTTCTCTATCTCTGTCTGTTTCTCTCTGGTGGTCCGTGGGGATTGAACTCAGGGCTTCACACTTGCTAGACAAGTACTCTACCACTTGAGCCACATCCCCAACCCTCTTGAACATTGGTTGTTTTTTGTTTGTTTGTTTTGCCAGTCCTGGGGCTTGAACTCAGGGCCTGGGCGCTGTCCCTGAGCTTCTTTAGCTCAAGGCTAGTGCTCTACC